ACACACACACACACACACACACACACACACACACACACACACACACACACACACACACACACACACACACACACAGAGCACCACCCCCAGTTATGTGCTGGACCAAGTGAGGACTGTGAACCAGGAGGGAAATCACACAGTTTTGACAGCAGCTTCTTCTTTGCGTCCCCCGGCTCCCTTCATCCTCCTGTCTGACTCACTCCCTGACTGTCAGGGTTTGGAAACAAAGCCACCAAGTACTGAGACGAAATAATGGCCAACAAATACAGTAAAGCTTTCCCCTGGTGTTGGTGCATGAGAGAGTAAACAGATAAACAGATAGATAAACAAGTTTTTTGCCTCTAATAAGCTCAGAAATACCAGTCTGTCAGTGCACCTGCTAAGATATTAGTACTCACTTAGAGGTGAATGATATAAACACGAGGCCTTAATGTTGGCATATTAAAGACTTATATAGTCTGGGTGTGAATCCAGAACACTGCCATCAGCTGCTTCTTATAGCTGTTTAACTGCGAAATGACTGAGATATCAAAAATCCTCATGCACATGACAGCATGAGGACTTCAGCTTTTCTCACCATCATTCTTCTGTTACCCTGATGCCAACCCACTTTACTCGCTTCCAAAGAGCCAGACTTTCTTGTGATTTTTTTAAAGTGTTCTTGAGCAACAGTTCTCCAGGCTTTCTGAAGGTCTTTCAAAAGTTTTTCTTTGTACAATGGCTGCTTTTCACTCATTTCAGTCCAGTTCCTGGGAGCCATCCAATCACTGAGGATGTAAGAGTGGACAACAGAAGACGTAGCAGGCCTAAAAACTATTTATAGCACACAAACAATATTTAAAATGCATGCCCTTAAGAAGTGTCAGGTCTTTAAGAGATACATGTGTGCCTTCAGCTCATTTATCTACTGTTCACTGAAGCCTCATCAAAAATGGTCTAAGTGGAAGGGTGGCTTCAGTGACAACAGGTCTGATAGAGCGATGAATCCACATATGACACTCCAGCCAGTGGTGTTTGGGATCTTGTAAAACTTTTTGGAGTTATGAACGCACAAAAGTACCATCAGGTTTTTATACACCATGTAATATCATCTGGAAAGCATCTGACTGGCAACAGCTTCATTTTTCAGCATGACAATGATCCCAAACATACTGCCAATGCAGTAAAAGACCTGTATAAAAAAATCACACACAGTGGAACATGACTTCAATATCACTGAAGCAGTGTGGGGTCATGTTGACATAGAACAGAACAAAAGGCAGAGACACGCAAAGAAGAGCTTTGAATGTTCTTCAAGAAGCCTGGAGAACTATTCCTGAAGACGACTTAAAGACATGACAAGAAAGCTGCCTAAGACAGTTCAGACTGTGCTGAAGAATAAAAGTGGTCACACCAAATATTCACTTTCAAGCCCATTAGCTTACATGTGCTTACCTTAATGCTGTATTTACATGTGTGTTTGCACATTTCAATAAATCACTGCACCTATTTCTTACTTTCAAGGCAAACAATTTAAAAATATGAGGAGTGGCTCAAGGCTCAAGGAACTCTGCTGTATGTAACAGTAACAACGTAATTATTTATTGAATTTAGCATAAGACAGCAAGTCAAGAAATCTCATTAAACTGATCTCAAAGCCAGCCAAAATAAGCTAACTGTTCAGTTGATATTGTACCTGGCAAACTAAGTTGCTCCACCCTGGCTACAGCCGCTGCTCCATCTGTAAGCTGCTTTGCAACACACAATATCTGCTGTTTACCAGGGTCTGTGTGGAGGTTGTGACTCTATAAATTGCAATTTTTTTTTACTTACAAGTACAGATTCATGCAGGAAAATTTGTGATTTTATGTCCCACCATGTGTTTCTTCCCTTTTGCATGTTCGAGTCAGTGAACTCACTCCATTGTGTCCTTCCAGCTGCACCATAAACCTCGATCCAGATTTTCCATGTTGAATGTGAAATTCGCCAAGCAGAGATCATTGATAAGAAACGTGTAGACTCCCCTGTTACAGCCAGACACTGATGCAAGGACTTGAGCTACAAAGTAGAAACAGAAGTAAGACAAAAGTATTTAAAAAAAATTTAAAAAATATCTGTACAGAATATATATCTGTAGCAGCATATGTTTGTGCAGCAAACAAGGTCATGTCCTGGCAATGGTTATTCCTACTGGGCCATTTCTTCCCTATTAGACTGTTACTTTCACTAAGAAAAGATTTTAATTTGCAGGCAAAGTCCCAATCCCATTTGTTTACTTCAGAGATGCGTGTAAACAGCCTCTAAACGTGGAGGCAGACCGCGGCCATCCCGCAGGACTCGAGGCTGAATGTAGCACCACGGAGGAGTACAGTAGGAGAGGGAGGCTTAATCTGGTGTAAAACGCCTGCGTGGAAACAAACAGGTTGTTGTTACGATCGAGAAACATGGTGGATCTCCAGTCTGTTCGGGCCAGATAAGGGCCGACTGTGTGCCCATTATATTTGCTCTGTCCCTGCTGGCTCTCCCTGCACTCAAAGGAAGACTGAACGTGTTGACACGGGAGCTTCAAAAGAGATGCTACAAAAGAAGAATGTGAGAAACTGTTGTGGCAAAGCAAGATCTGAACGAACGCACAGTAATCTCCTGAAAAGGGAGTGAATATTAGCTTGTCTATCATCTACAGTCATGTTTCACCAGCCTCTGATGGCAACTGCCGCTTGGAGGATTCACAGTTGCCCCTCAACTTGGCTGTTAACCAGCATTGTATTTGGATTACAATTTCCAGGAAAATGGAGGCATAGTTTGACAAATGTTCTTCTGACTGAAGGTTTATGCTCTATTGACTTTCTGCCTTCAACTCTGTTAGGTTAGGAAACACGCATCAGTCCAATGGGAATCTTAAATTCTGTCAGCGTCTCTGAGACTCAACATTTATGGATTTTAAAAGCTGATTCTCATGAATATTAGATGATGGGGTTTGAAATCATTTCCACAAATATTAATGATCCATGCTGACATCTCTAGAGTTTTACAGAGAAGGGTCTGAAAAAGAGAGACTAGCCAGTGAGCATACTTTGAAGAGGCTGACCTAAAGCAACAGAAGACCCTACTGGGTGCCAGGCTTGTCAGTAAGAACAGGAAACTGTGGCTACAGTTTGCGTGGACTCAGAAAAATCGAACAATCGAAGATTGAAAAGTGTTGCCTGGTCTGATGAGTGTCCATTTCTGCTCGGATTTTGATGTCAGCTGATGAAAGCATGGCGCCATCCTGCCTTATATCAACAGTTAAGGTTGCTGCTGGTGGTGTGATTGTGTGGGGGATATTTTTGTATTTGACTGAAGAACCTTTAAGCACCACAACCTACTCACATATTGTTGGTGATGTTTAGTAATTACAATTTCCCAATTGAATTTAGATTAGGTAATCTACTTCCTCTCTATAGTTTTTTCAAGTTTCAGCTCATTTTTGTAGGTTTCAGTAATTGTTTTTTCCTGGTAAGTTTATATCTAAATTCCTATTTCAAGTGAAATTCAACAAAAGCACAGAGTTCCTTTTGTAAATTATGGTCCCAAATGAAACACATCTTTTTCCTGAAAGCAACTGCTGATGGACAAAATCAAGGAGCACTCCATGAACCCACAACCGCTACTTCATTCTTTAATAGTATATGGTCTTTCCTTCGAGATTAATGTAAGGAATTCCCAGTGTGTTTCTGGATCAATATTCCCAAAAGTTTCCCAAGAATTTCATATTAGAGGTTCAAGCAATGTTGGAGACATAATCCACTTTACTCTCTAACATGTCACATGAGTCATATGGTATCACGTTTGCCTTCATTTTCAAACATTGAAACAAAGTTATTGAAAATGTAAAACCATGAAATGCACTTCTTCACACAGCTGCTACTTATGTTTTTTTCTTTTTGACTGGTTACGTTCAATGACAATGGCCTGCTGAGCATGCAAGAAGGTAGATGAGGGCAAATGCTAGTGAAATGTAAGGTTGAGTGAATAATGGTGGGTTTTTCAGAATTTCTTCCAGAAACAAAGCACATAGAGCATAGTGAACTTTCAACAAACAGATCAAGTCTATTCATAGACATTATCGAGAAACCCAAGAAAACAAAATCCCAACTTACCTCGTCCTTTTTTCTGCCATAAATCAACCAAGCCTTGTTAATAATTTCTAAATAGACTAACATTTCAAAGACCTGCTTTTTTTTTTCAACGAAAAACATAAACAAGGTTTAAGCTGAATCCTATAGCGACTCTCTGCCTGAGTACCATGGACTCACCTGCCATCAGCAGCACAAACCCTGCTTTCAGGAGCAAGGCAGTCTCCAGAGCCATGATGAACACAAACCCCAAAAAGCTTCACGCGCTCTGCTCACTCCCCGGAGATCAGCGGCAAAGCCTCATTCTAACTCCAATAGCCAGAGCCAGTGAGTCGGGAACGTCACGGTGCCACCACGTTAGAAACAAATTAACCGCAGTTCACGGTGTGCTGTCAACAAGAAGGCGGCAACTGATTGTGTGTAAAAGCCCCCCTGACCTTTCTCTGTGGCACCCTCCTTTCCCCTCCTCGCTGCAGCCCTAATCATAGAAGCGCTGCTTGTCATCTGAGCCCCTTGTCCGGCTGCTTTCTGCGTGGAACTGCTCACAGGGGACAAAATAAAGTCAGATACCAAAATTAGTTCAGTGTACAGTGCATGCTTTATAGCAGCAATTTAGAGTCTGGAAAAAACACTGCTTTTTTAATCCCTCAGTATTTACGTTTTTGTTGAATAATCCAATTATAACCATTTAACATCTAGAATTTGGATGGTTTTCTTTCATATATACATGATTCTCACAGCAGAGGCCAACTGTGAGGTAGCATGTCATCAGACTCATCACGGCTCTTTAATTAAATGTCACATTTTCCCCATTTCTTATTTGTATTAGGATTAATGCATTAGTGTGAATACCCAGAGACATCCCCGGCGGTGGGCTCACACTGGGACCCCATTTCACAGCAGCAGCACACAAAGGCAGAATTCCCATTTTCATGTCACACTCGTATCGGCACAAATCTCATGCAGCTCGCAATGTCTATAATTGAATGTTTTATCTGAGGAATTTTGCACAGGAACAGATTGATTAGTATTCTCAGCGCTGCTCTGCATTGTGCTGCCACCCAACGTGGCTGTCTCTGCCGATGGGTGTGTGAGAGAGTAATCCAGTGGCTCCGATGAGTGTTTTCATGTGGCTGACTTTACAGAGTGTAGACTGACAGAGTGCAAGCTGCATCTTCTTTAAGTTTGTAGGCATTGTGGAGCTAAAAAGCTTTTGTTCATTTTGGTGTTTGATAGTGAATTTGTTCATTTCCATGTCTGCAAACAGCAAATCTTAATCATGAAACAAAATGCTAATACTTAAAAGGTACTGTAAGTATTTTTGAGGTTATTTAATAACATTTATTACATATAACTTATGTAACATATAGCATTTATTTAATAACACAGAAGATAAAGACATAAAAACCTGTGTGGGCAAAAAATGCCTTAAAACAAAACAAAGCAAAACAAAACACCAATTAAGTGTTGGCCTTTGTGAATAGAAAGATTATGACTCTTTTTTTCCCCCCTTAGTGTGTGCACAGATGTAATTATTCTCAAGTCAGCAGGCAGCTGGTCCAAAATAACAGAACCACAGTAACTGAATGCTCAGCTTATTGTCAGCAGATTAGACACATGACTCTATCGTCTCTGGACAGCTGACAATTACTGGCTAAACAATAATAACAGCTAGTTACAAGTTAAGGTAATTATTAGGCTTCGATGTCCTAAAAGTAGCACTTTCCTTCTAAAAAAAACCATGTGATTACATTTTCACATGACAGTTTTTTCAATTAGTCCAACAATGTTAGCTCTGCTTCAAAGAACTTTTCATCAATGCCAGCTAACAGCAGCTAACAGCAACACACAGAGGCTAACAGCAGCTAACAGAGGTTAACAGCAGCTAACAGAGGCTAACAGCAGCTAACAGCAACACATGGAGGTTAACAGCAACTAACAGAGGCTAACTGCTATTCTTGCTGTTAGAAAGGTTCAGCACATCCTCAACAACTCACTCAGTATCAATGTCATCAGAAGTGAGCTTCACAGACCCATCAACTTGTATTGGACACTTTACAGCCTCCTAAATATGCAGATGTGAACATCCAGATACTGTCCACATCTGTATATTTAGGCCGAGGTAAACAGCAGACTGACAGCTTACACTCATTACAGATCAACATTAACCATCCAACATATTATTTTCCATCCAACATGTTATTTATATGTAATTGATATTTATGTGTTAAGTTGATGAATATTGGACCATTTCATTATGCTGTATTGGAGTAGATTTGAAACTAGAAACAAAATCACCCGAGGAAAGAGTCGTCCCATCCTGATCATTAGGAAGACTACGGGTTTAATGCGTCTCCACATTTTCTTGAACAAGATTAAGATGTGTGACCAAACAAGGCAACTTTTCTTCTAGATTTTAACGGACAGCAGAAAAAGAAAAAATGCAGAATATTAACTCCACGCTTAGATTTGATCATTTTATTGTTTCAATGTTCATTTTTTTTAAAACAGAAAACCTTTAGGCCCTGTGATAGACTGATGGCCCATCCAAGGTGTATCTATGCAACAACAGCTGGGACAGACTTCGGCTCCCTCATGACCCTGAACTGGGTGAGTGGTTATGAAAACGGATGGATACGTATTTCACTCTGTATCTGTCATATATTTAGTGTCACTGTGATGAAGAGGTTAGCGCTGTCACTTCATAGTAAAAAGTTCTTGGGTTTGAACTTGTGGCATCTTTTGTTCACTTCACGCTTGGTGGATTTTCTCTGGGTTCTCAGATTTCCTCAAACAGTCTAAAGACTACGTGTCAGGTTACCTGGTGAAGTTGCATCTTTAGGTTCAGATGTTCCAGCCTATTGCCCATGTGTACAACTGCATATTAAAATATTTTTATTAAATGAATCTGTACCCTGCTGTGATTTGCGCATAAGACTTAATTGCAGGACACAGATTGAAGAAATGTAATAATTTTAATGAACAACAACTGGTAAGTATTCACAATATAACTGAGAATCAAACTCAAGTTACACTCAAGAAAGGATTTGGTCCAGTTGCCAAAGTTTCTTTGTACTATTTTTTTTCTCCAATTCTGTCAGTTTCACATTCAGGTAGGTTGATTCTGATTTTCAGAATCTCCAACGCAGGTGAATATTCACTGCTTTCCACAGGGTCAGGTAAGTACTCTTGAGTGCGGTGAGAGTGGCGCTTGTAGGTATGACCAGAAGCTAGCCAGGCTGATGGACCAGGAAGGATTCTACAGGTAAGGTTGGCATGTAAACAAAAAATCAATAAATACCAAAGAAGACTGAGTGATGCTACCACACTGGGAAGCTCAACAACCTGATGAATGGCGAGTGGCGGGTTATAAACTGTATACTGTGTATTTTTGCCCTGTCTCATTGCCCTCACGCCCAGCCGGTCTGAGTTTTGGGAGTTTTTCTTTCCTACTTTTGCCAAATGCTTGCTCATAGATGATTGTTGTGGGGTTTTCTCTATAAGGGTTGTAGGGCATTTACTTTGCAATTTGGAATTTGGTACAATATAAATGAAATTGAATTGAATTGATGATAAGTGACGATGATAAATGGGTGCGCCAGGAGCCCTGGGCAGCCACATCTTCAGCTGAAGGGAGGTAAGCTGAAAAAGTTACACACAATTACTTGGGGAACCATGACAACCCCATATACACAATTTTGACCTTTTTTAAAGGTTAAATTTTTTAAAAGCTGCACAATTATAGAGGTACAGAACTGGTCTCTGGAATGCACAAAGCAAAAAGCTACAAATAGCTGCCGTTGTGCACTGTCAAATGCACAAAGGCAGTGCCTTGGAGTTCACTCTCCCATTCACTTTTGGTTGTGCCCCCTACAGATACATTAAAGTACCTTTTTTGTGTGTGTATCCCAATATAATCTACAGCTTGTATGAAAACAGTTGAATATTTATGTGACTTTTTAAATGCAGAAAACTTTAGAGGGTGATTACACACACATCTGTGATGGAAAAGCAAACAAAGTAACCCATTTAATGATTTTTGTAAGGGTCCTGATGTCCGCCTTTATGCTACTGAGGAGATACGGCCTTCACTTCAGGTCCCTCAGCAGCAGAGGTTTGTGGATCGAAATTATATCAATAGCATCAATATCAGGGCTCGTATTGGCATCGGATCAATACTAGAATGATAAGTTTGATACTTTTTATTCCTGAGGCCATCTGACCTCAGGAATTCGCATGATAAGGTGGGGCCAGGTTTCACAATGAACACACCCGAAACTCTGGCTGATTGGGACCCACGCCCAGTTTCACACCTTGGCTCAGGCGACTAGAGGATCATCAGGGGGTCCTTTTGTCCCTCTGTGGGGGGTTACTCCCACTAGGTTTATATCTGGGACTCTCCACCATTTGACCTTAGAACTGAAGAAGCTTCTCGGATGAGAGGTGAAACGTCTTCAAGCAACTTAAAGAAGTCCAGACGCTTTTCTTTGCAAGCTCCTTTGACTATGATGACCTGGATGACTGAGAACCTTCACAGAGATACTTTTTATTCTCTAACTTCAGTATGAATCCCAGTGAATTGCATTAACTAAAATATTATTGTTTTCGGAGAAGGGATGAAAAAATATTCCTCAAACACACACTAGTTTCTAAAGACATTAAAAGCTAAAAGGAAGTGAAAATCACAGTGATTTAATGTCATTAAAATGTGTTTTGCAAACTGATGACGATTCATCTCATAAATCATGACACACTGCTCTGCTATGTTAACCTAATTAGGTTAAATAGGTTAAAAGTACTGGTATCGTTGTTGGCAATACTTGGTATCATATTGATGCCAAAATGTGCAGTACTGCACAGCACTACTCAGCAGCTTTATGATCAAAAGGCTCAGAACCGAGCAGTTCCCCGTGAATTCCCCTAGAGAGCAGCAAAGGACACTAAATAAACCATCCCTTCAGGCACCGTGAGGCTGTATCAAGGATGGTCCTCACACTAATTCTCCAATAGTTCCAGTTACGGTCGAGTTTTCGCCTTACACGGATCGCAAATCAATATCTTTTTGTCCTCGTCGATTCGCCAGCTCGTTTCATACTTTCACGTCAGTCCACAAATAAAAAGCAGAGTGCAGAATATCTGTGGGCAGACTGGCTTGTAAAATGAGTGGCCCTGAAAATGGTACACTGCTCCAGCTTTTTGCCTTCTTCACACCAGCACAATCAAACTTTATAGGCTGTGCCTCGTAGCGGTGGGTATTTGCAGAGGCTGACCCTGCTGGCGAAGCAGGAAACTTTCGTGGTGTTGCTGAAACTACACTGTGGGGTGTTCCACTGATGTCTTCTGTCTGTCACATTATAACCCCTAAACAAACTACTTCCTACATCATGATCAGGATCAGATATTAAGTAATTTGTCTTCCCAGCAATAACGAAGAGCACAGTGGCCGACACAGCAGCCAAACAGAAACCAAAACAAAACCTGCTCCTAACAG